TAGAAAAAAAAAACAATTCATTAGTAATTCGGAAATAGAACCGTCTTTTCACACTCGATGTAGAAATGTTTCTAGTCCGAAGCAGTTCTGAACGGAACTACCTACGTTTTATTCTGAAACGTTTGAAATTAGAATCGTTGGAACTGGCAGCTACAACAGCATATTTTTCTTTATTGAATACGTATTCGAATTTTACAAAAGATGGATAAGATTTGGTTTTATTATTCTGGTTTTATTGCAAACATTAGATTTTTCTAAATTAGGACACAAAACGTATATGTATATTCTGTTCTATAACTTACGGTCAAAACTCTATGGAACTCAAAGTATTCTTATAGAGATTGTATTGTTTTAATACTGACATTTCTGAACATTTCGATTAGTATCTTCGAACTTATCCCCCAAAACAAAACAAAACACCCAGAACAAAAATCACCAAATATAAACCTACTAATTGCAAATTAATTATATACTAGTTTTTAGTTTAGTTTTAGTTTTTGCAGACAAGCATGATGTAATCGCCAGATATCTTTTGTACCTTTTTCGTGTAAATATTATGTATTATTTTATTATCACGATTTACAGTTGTGTGAAGCCGGGCTATACGTTGTAAAATTTAAATATTTACAATTATAAATTTTTTTAAATAAAGCACAAGCACTTGATAAAATGCAACGAGAAAATAAGATTTGGCTGAATATATCACTAACTCTCGACTGACTTCTCTTCCGAGAGAAACGACTCACCCAAGGATGAAATGAGAAAAAAATTGGATTAGACAAAGACGTCGTTTTTCTCCGACATTGCGTTATTTACAGATACCTCGACCCAGGAAACGGTCAAAAATATATAAAAGGACCAACAAAATGATAAATAAAATCGTCGTCGTCGTTTAATAGAGCGGTCATTCAAGTGTCCAACCCTGTCGGCCACCCGGTTCCTACCAATCAAACCGCTGCCCAAATTAAAGGTTAATGTACTTTAACCGAGTTTGCCTGAAATTCTGGATTATTACAAACAGTCTCGATACAAATAAGAAAATCTTCTCTCCCTTCATAAGGCGCCCAAGCCAGCCGGTGAACACCGAACCTCGAGAATCAAAATATTCAGCTCGACGCGCGAAATTTATGTTAAATTTTCTCTCTAGGCGTGAATATTTTAAAGACTAATTTGCAAAAATATAGTAATTCCTATAGATAAATCTTATTATTTCATATTTATGGTACATGTATTTCCGGCGTGGAGCTAAGCAACAAAGCATTGTAAATACAATCACGCAGAGAGTTGCCAGCACTCTCCTTATCAAGCTCATCAGCTTTGTCATTATCATAATTTCCTTGATCACTTCTAATCCACAACTAAACATACCGATCATCAGAGTTACTTGCGCACATATTCATCCAATAGACAATGGAATGGGTATTCTCGCTATCATCCAGCGGAAAAAAAACAGGCAACAGAGTCAGTGTAGATGTTGATGCACTGTCAATAACAGCAATTATTGCACCATTCCACAGCACAGAGGATAGCACACTATTCATCCTGAAAGACAGTGCCATCTTCCTGAAGATGACTTTGCCAGAAGATAGAAGCTAAGTAGCAAACAAACGCTATTAGCGAGAGGAATGTATTTCACCAATAGCAAACTTTCTCCTTAGAAAAATTCTGGCCAAGAACAGTGGGAAACTCTGATACAATGTCACAATGGAAAAGGAGCTGGGACCAAGATTTTATTTTGATTTTCACTACAATTGAGTGCCTACGTAGATAAAGGCGAAAATCTGTTCTCACAAAAACACAAATAAATAAGCGATTGAAGTGGGCCCAAGAGCACAAATGAAGGATACAACAACAATGAAAGGAGGTTATTTATAATGATCACGCAATGTTTCGAGTCTGCATTATAAGCAATAAGAAAAATCGAAGTAATCAGAAAAAGAGAAGGGGCATTCAATTATGATTGTGTATTGGGCAATATAAAAGTCGCAGCAAGCAGTATAGTGTGGGGTTGCGTGTCAGCCACGGTGTGGGTAATTTTCTTTTTAATTAACAAAGGGAATCAATGAATGCAGCGAAATACTTGCAAATTCTTGACGAAAACCTGCTACCATCATTAAAAATTTACTATATCACGAACTATTATTTTCAAGCAGTATAGTGCAGTTGCCACACTTCTAACATAATATGAAAACATTAAAATGTCCCTCTATCAGTTCTGACTTTTCCCTATAAGGAATATGTGATGTAGAATTAAAAGCGTGTTATAAAAAGTCATCAAGAAAATGTCAATGGTTTAATCAAAAAGTCAAGTTACTTTGGTGTGAAATGAGGACCAAGCTCTTGTTGACACAACGAACGATCGTACGAAAACTATGGTATAAGTCAATTGTAAAAATACTTACTTATAATCAGAGTTTAGCGATGTAAAATAATCATAAGTATAAAAGATTTTTCTCATCGATATTACTGAAGATATATTAAATCGACTTTTAAAATGACTTTTTGTCCGAAATGTTTTTCACGAGATTATATAATACACCGGCGAAATATAAATTCACGTGATATACATTAATCGAACATGTTGTTTACAAATTGTTTTTAACTTAATCTATATCTATATATATATAAATGAACGTGTGTGTCCCTATATTTCACTTTTTAGCCAAAACTACGCATCACACATGAATGATGTTTGTATGTGGTAGTAACATCAAGTCTCTATTCGTGCACTATGGTGGTCGCGTCTCGATAGCTATAAGGTGTGGAAGATATGGGCTTGAAAGTGGTTGAAAGTGGAAGATTTTCTATTTCGTTTTTAAAAATTTTCGAATTCGAATCGGTTCGATTATAGAACGATTGTAAACGTTCCAGACAATTGATCAAATTGAGAATAGTTCGTTTGACTGGATGTAAAAATTCCATAATTAGTCTGGAAACGGGAGACCTAATTCTTGCATTCTCCGAAAACGGGTAAGATTGGTAATGTAACGGGTAATGTAATTATCTTAATCTTCACTATCGTTACTTTTTGCCCAGCGAAGCGGGTCCTTGCAGCTAGATTCTAGATTACTTAGAAAAACAGTCTTTTATATNTATTTAAATTAGAGATGTAATTAAATACTACAATTCAATTCTATAGACCTATTCAAAACTGTTAAACATTCAATAAGCGTTAGATAATTTTATTACAGGTTCTTGCATAAAAGGCTGAATTTGGTTAAGACAAATTGTAATATTTTTAATGTTTTTACTTCTGTTAGAAGTTTGCTTACTTTTATTACAGTAATTATTTTTATGACTACTACAACTTCTCCCGCTGCGCCGAATAAGTTTTTTAGAGAGCCAAACCTTAGAGCCAGTGTTTGCCCGAGGAAAGTTATAAAATGGAGCGAAATCATACTATGGCGCCCCCTTGGTTGCTCCTAATTTATACCCTTTAACTTTCTTTACGACTGAGGCGCCACCTAGGACAGCGACTGGAGCGGCTGCTCCGTTCGCCCTATGGTAGGGCCAGCTCTGCTTTGAGCTCACGTATACAAGTATAGTAGTATATGGTCGAAAAGTAACTTGCTAATACAGAATTAGTGTAGCCACACCTAGTCAATGCTCATTATGATACCAGTACTATATTTTAACCATTGACAGTAATAGCGACTACTAAAAAAACAAATACAAAAAGTGCAATACTGTAGACTCGTGTTAATCGCATTCAATTAAAATAAAATTCACGACTTTCTTGCATTTCAGTTGTCGATAACGTTTTTGCAACGTATTGTTTACGAATAAAAAGTGATATCTCTGTACGAACAAAAGAAAAAGAAATAAAATATCTAAGTTCCCATTTCATAAAAACTTAGGAAGCATCATGAGTGAAATTGAAAATCGTAAAGAAACAGAACTGGTATTGACAAGAGCATCCACCATTTACAGGCTTGTTAGAAATGACAAAGAAAAAGCAAATAAATAAACACAAGCAGGAGTTTATAGAATTCAATACGAAAAGTAACAGTTGGGAGTCAAAAAATGATACATCCGAGTCTCAAAAAAATTTCGAAGTACATAAACACAACAGCAAGAAAGAATAGTGTTACATGGTGTCATCTAAGGCACAAGTGGAACGCTAAATTGCAAAATGGGAAGAGGCCGACATCATAAAACCAGAGCATTTACTATCCTTAGCGATGAGTACAGAAAAGATAGAAAGTACAGAAGAGAGATGATAGACTGGTGTCTGAACGATAGAGACTCCGAAAGATTACCATCAGCTTCTATGATGATTGTGATATCTCATTTTTTTTCTCCACCATGTACAGTATATAGAAATACAAGGTGAAGAGAAAACTGAAGCATGTCAATTTATAGATTGCCCTTGTTAAAACAAAGCAATATTACATTTTCAAACTTCGCTTCATTTATACATTAACACATTTTTTATAATTATATTTAATTAATGTTTTACTTTTGTTATTATTGTGATTTGATTTTCTGTAACGTTTGCCTTTCTAATAATTGTTGGTGTTTTTTATTCCTAGTTAAATTAAATTTATTATATTCAAAATTACATTACAATTTTATATTCTAACGAGAGAATGTAATATAACGTTTGAGGACGGTTTGTAGAAAAAACCGAAAACCTTACTGATTACTAAACGTTTTTCTTGACAAAATAAGGGCTTGTATATGGTTTATATAAACTGCGATTTTATTTCTTTACAATATATTTCAAATTACNAGTACCCGTCACAGCCATTGATACACTCGGCGAAAAATTTATAAACTAGTTGCTTAACTTTTTCGGCAACATTTGATGGCGTCGTCCGTTACGATATAGTTCAAATTACTTTATAAAAAATAAAATTACACAACTATCGATTGCTAAAAAAATTCTCTTACAGATTGTTTGCATTTGTGTTTAATTCCTTCGATCCATTTAATAAAAATACACTAACGTAAAAAGAATATAAATCTAATTCCTATAACACATTATATTTGCTACTCACCTTTCTATATATAAGAGTGCAGAAAGCTATCTTTAATTTCATTGCATAGATTTCAGTTATAAACGCACTAATATTATATATACTTAAATATATCGTAAGTAGAATAAAAAATCCCGCAACTGTAACATAGAACTTGTATTCATTCACTTCCTCTCCGTTTTCAAAATAATTTATTATTAATGCTACGAAGTATGCTTGGCCGGCAATTGACGCTGTCATCTGCGAACGAACATAAATATCAGTTATATCAATTATTTCAGAACATTCTTTGTCTTTCAAATCGATTGTCGTAATACCTGAATGAGTACAAGTAGAATAATCATAAAGTATTTCCAACCAACAAAACGTAATAAAGCTTTCAGTATGTTCGAATTCTTCTTCTGCAATTCCCGGTTCCATTCTCTGAAAAGAAATTGCAATGAAACCTAAAAATTGAATACAATATTTCAATCAACAGATTACTCTAGAATTTTTGTACAACTGTAAATCAATGCAATGCTCCTAAAACAATTATTATTATTATTATTATTATTATTATTATTATTTTGAAAATACAGTAAAAGTTTATTTACGTAAATATCTGTTATAACCGGGAAGGCTAATATTCTGCTATTCGGAATGTATTTAGACACGTGCTGCGCTAAAAATCCAGACACACATTGTGAAGAGAAATGGAAAGTGCTTGTATGTGCGTTACTACATTACAGAAGGGGAATGAAATGTTGATACAATATAACTATGTAATGTTTCATTCTAAGACTGATACGTGAGTAAATAACATGCCTAAACAGATCACTAATTTGCAGCAGCGTGCGTTGTTACAGAATGCACAGTAATGTCGACAGGAAACAGGGACGTGTAATTTATTAAATTTTGTATTAATTACTAAAGTTTATAATATTTTTGCGTTTTCAACACCGAGACTCTCCTGTGTAATGCCCAACAGAATAACGAACTTTAAACTGAATTTACGGAATTTAAAAACTTTTAAATATAGAATTAAAAATCTTTTAACTCATACTTTTTCAATATGTAAAGTAAAATATAAATTTCATAGCATTTTAATTAATATAAGTAAAAATTCGTTTTAAATACTTACTATTGAATTTGACGAATGATATTATGACTAGTTCGCTTATCTGCAAGTTGGAATAATAGAGATTTCGCTAAATTTTTTATGATATTGTTTGTTGCATAAATAGATCAGTATGCAAACGTCTCGTTTAATGTGTGCATGTGCACATTTATCAATTTACTAGCAGATAAGAAGGCTTTGCCAAGGTAAAAAATAAAGATAACAAAGATTAAAACGAAAACCACAATAAACAGTTTAGTTATTTATCCTACTAATGTCATGTTTAAGATACTTGACCAACGAACTTGCAAATATGATATGTTAATTTTTTTCTAATGTCAATTTCAACGTACTGTACTATTCACACCCGAATATCAAATAATAATCTACAAACCAATTATGGTTCGCGAAAAACAAAAAAATGCCAAATATTTAAACTCGGCAATCCGAAAACCTTAAAAAAACATAATTTGTGCTCGCTGGTAACTTTTTCTTATGTAATTTTTTATTTGAATGGAAAAATACCACTGTTGAGCAGAGAAAATGGGCTGCTGCAGAAGGAAGTTGAAGTTAATTTGACCAACATTACACGTTGACCTCTTTCAAGAAGAGAGGATTGGCCAACCACAACTAATTATTACTGTTTTACTATTATTATTCGAAAAGTGGTCCGTGTGAGACAGGTTGTGATGATCCGCTCTTGTTTCAAGTTGTTTACAGTAACGCCCGAACGATTTCACATAAAACTTGTTTAAATTGCTCTTAAGAGATGATAAAGTGTTAAAGTTATTATTAACTGGATGGATTTAAGAAGTACCCGTCGCAGCCATCGATACACTCGACGTTATAAATCCTAAATTTCAAAAAAATTTAGGAACCAGTTGCTTAACTTTTCCGGCTACATATTGGGAAGCCATTCGTTACGATATTTCATATTTAAAACTTTTTATATTTTTTAATTATTATAAAAAAGGGAAAGAGCTTAATTTGGAGGGAACAGACAGGTTTTATAGATAGTTGACTCAGTTCGACTTTACTGCACATATAACATTGCCTCCTTTATCTCCTTATTCCCCCGACTTGCATCAATTTTCCTAATAAACAAATCTTCCTGCAAAAATCCAGAAATATTCAACCCAAAGCGATGAAATTATTAAGCTTCAAACAGGGTTACAAAACAGCACCACACACAAACACTAACATCTAGACATACAATATCCTAATTTTTTTTCTCGACGTTTCAAAGTATCCTGTGTTAAAAAATAATAATCTTGGGGTCACCTTTTTGACCGTTCGCTATGTTTTACCTCCGTTATATCTAACAACTGGGAAAGTAACGAGAAAATCTCAAAATATATCGATTTAAACGGCTTTAGACCAAGACAGTTTTGTCTCAGGCTAATTGATTTTCCTACTAATTTTATATACATTTTAAATGTTTAATTTATGTCTTTTACTGGTTTTTATTTATAAATATTATTTATGAAAAATTATTATAAAATAACTGTAGTTCTTCATTAAAACTAAAAATTACTAACGTTTCTCACAAAAAAACATATTTCACTTAAATGTACAAAAGTAATTCAGATATTTATTGCAAAGTTCTTATAATCATTATTATGGATTAGTGCGAAATGCATTTTTACATCAGTTTTTAGTTTAATTCCTTCCAATGTTTTTAACACATCTGCTTTATGTATCGACACATGAATCTACGCATAAATGAAAATTTTTTGCTGGGAAAAAAAGCCAAATTTGTTCCGCATTTTCAACAAGTGTTACGTCTAGGCAATATTCTTTTGAATTTTCGTTACGTGTTTAGCCACGTGCCACCTCTGGGACGTCAGAAGTTTTTCATTCGAAAATTCTACGTGCAAAACTAAAAATTCATAGAACATGTTCTTCGGATTGAGAAAGTTAGAAAATTAGGGATTTATTCATGTCCTTTTGTCATTTTAATCTATTAGTTACAAAAAATGTGATTACATTGAATATTTTTTAACTGGAATAGTAATAACTGAAGATATTGTTCTGTATAATAAAATGTACTTTTGTCGTAAATAAATAAATTGCGGCTGCTGATTATATAGTTTTCACTATAGTAGGGGGAAAAAACAATTGTTTGAAATGATCTCGTTGAAATTTTAAACAATGCGAAATGTTAGTGAACAATATTCTTATATCAAAACGTACAGTACATAAAATGTTACAAAACTGTACTTATATACGTCATACAACTGTTAAGTTTTAAATTGTTTTTATTGAAAATCTTACGTGTTGAACATAGTAGCAGCGTTATAACTTATAAAGTACTTTACCGGACACACCGACTAAGTCTCCTGGTTTATGTATTTCAGAGCACTAAATACAATGAATGTAGTTAATCATTCACCTATCTATAAGTATGAAAAGGGGAAATAACGTGTTTTGTAGATTACTTTGTCTATGAAAAAATTTCAAGTAAAAAAATTTGAACGAAATCCAGTGAAAGTAAATTACATTGTAGTTGTAAGCCCAGTAAAATTTTTATTGTAAATCAAATAAATATTATATAATTTAATTTTGCAATAAATTTTTATATTGTTAAGTGCTATGCTACATATATTCATTACACAACTAATAATAACTAATATATATATATATATATATATATA